CGTTATCACTAAGTTGTTTCCCACCAAGATCGACTATTGAGACCTTTATGAACAAAGAATGTGAGCTTAAAGTTTAATTTCATTACATTAAGCCTGGTGCCATATTGGGCCTGCTAATAAACATTGCCTTGTGGTTTGGATATGCAGACGGGGAGGCTCCTTTTCTACCCAAATAACAACCATATTGGGCCTACTGATAACGGCTTTCTCTCCTTTAATTCAACTTACGGTTCTTTCACCGCCCTGGCATTCTTTTATGTTGTCCACATACACTATAATGATGATACTGTGCACCATACCACTAATTGCTGATGTTAGTCTCCGAGGAGGAGTTCGTTTTCACTTCCACTGGAGTGAAATTATGGGAACTAGCTCTATCCTGACAGGTTTATTAGCAGTAATTTCACTCATTTCAATTAGCAAACCATATATTGCCTTGGTCTCATTCCTTGTGTGGCTTTTCTTCGCCATTCACCTTATTCACAACTTGATTTGGGTCTTAAACCAACCAATATTACCCATTACTATCAATACCAATTCTGCTAATACAATATTTGGTATGCTGAAAAACTCGGCAACAAACTTGTTCCATTGGTGTAAAGAGCGCATGCAGCAATTCCAGTGATTACATCAGTGTCGTACTAACATATAGATTCCATGAGTGTGAGGAATCTATTTGATTATCCCATTAGTGTTGTTGTTGTTTTTATGTTTTTATTTTCCTTTTTTTTACTGTGATGTGATATATTATATATAATTTTGAATCTATGTAATATGTATGTGTTTTTTCTCAATGAATAATTTTGTTAGCTTTTATAATCTTTCTATCTTTTGCCATGATACGATAAATCACTATTTGTATTGAACTAGCACTATGTGCCTTTAATTAATGTTGTGAATTTCTTTTTAAGTACAGAAAAAAATGCGTGTTTTTTTAATAATGTGTAACATAATGTAACGTATCGAGGGATTAGACATCAAGGGCTACTTGATTAGAAATCAACTTTTTTTAAAAAAAATTTATTAAGGAAGTGATTTAGAAAGTAATGTACAACAAAAATTAAAAATATTTATATAGAAAGTTGATAGGTTTTGTAACAAAATGACGTTGGATTGTTAGTTTTTCTGTGTTTGTTAACATAGAAAAAATTAGTAAGAAAATTGTCAAATTAATCTCACATAATGAAAGTTTTTAATTGTACGATTAATAAATTAAAATCAACTTAAAATTTTTTTATACAAATTAATAAAAAAAACTACAATTAATGGATCCTAAGCCTACATGTTAAAAACCCTTTAAAAAATTGATTCTATTTAGTGCCTTAACATATAATGTTGTAAGGGTAAGTTCACATGTTAAACCCTTTAAAGTCACTTTGATGGTTGAATGACTCTTTTTATTTTATTTTATTTATTTATATACAAAAAGAGCGACAAAGATTCAGCTAACTCTCTACCTCTTCATTTCAGTCCTGACCCATTTTCCTTCATTTTCGGTGTGTGATTGGTGGGTTTAACTCGGCCCCCTTGCATTGCATCCGCTGCCTTTTAGATTACATGACCCATTTTCCTTCATTTGGTTGTTATGTGATAAAATAAGAATTGGACTCTAATGGGCCTTGCAACCAACAGAAAAGTTGAAGTGAGAATTGGGCTATAATAAGCCTTGCAAGAAGTAACAACCATTGTCATCAAAAGTCCCCGAGTGAGAATAATTTTTTTTTTTTATTTATTTTAGCCTTGGCTAAGAACACTTTAGTAGATTAAAATTTTAAATTAAAAATTTCATATTTAAATTCTAAAACCAAAAAAGGGTTGTAATTTAAACATTTACTGTTTTCTTAAATCATTATACCAAGGATTTTACCCTTTTTCAACCACATTTAAAAGCAAATGTATAGTTGGCCAGAAAATATTAGATCCAGCCTCTATTCAAATAAAATTAATTGTTTCGATTAAGTTGTGGACTAATTAAACATTTCACTCAAGTCAAAACTCACTACATAAAATAAAATGTGTTAGGTGTAACCTCCATAATATTACACATTGGGAAAGCAACTCCAAAAAGAAAGCCCTGATGTATGTGGGGTACCATAACTTTGGTTTTTATCCCATGGGAATGGTCCAAAAAGACTAGGCGTCTATTCTATGCTCATTGATTGTCTCCACAAAAGGAGCACGTATAGAAAGAGAGAATCATGAGAGGCTTGGAGCCTTTCTGGCCCCAGCTCCTATACTAATCACTCTTGCAAA